ATCTAGGCTGGTATTGTGACTGGCTTTGGCCAATAAAATGTAGAAGCGATGGTGTGCCCATTCCAAGCCTAGGCTTCAAGAGGCCTTATACACTTCCACTCCCTCTCTTGGACCCTGATCCAGACATGAACTGGGCTACTATGCTGGAGAATGAGAGATACACGGAGCAGAGACAACCTAACCCAGCTGGCCCAGTCAACACCAGAAGAACCACACAGCTGAACCAGACCAAACTGTACATTCAGCCCTAGCCAGTTTGGCTCAGTGGATAGAGCGTCGGCCTGAGGACTGAAAGGTCCCAGATTTGATTCCAGTCAAGTGCGAATGCCCGGGTTGCAGGGACCGGTAGGGGGTGTGCAGAAGGCAGCCAATCTGATTCTCACCAATGATGTTTCTCTCTCTCCTTTCCTCTCTGAATCGATAAAAATATTTTGTTTTTAAAAACTACCCATTCACAAAATTATGATCTAAATAAATTATTGTTGTCTTAAGCCACTAAGTTTTGGGATGATTTATTACACAATGGTAGTAACTAAGCAAACACTGTTCAGTCTTCCTCTTGACCATTGAGCAAAATACAAACTCCCCATTTGGGTACCCATGGCCTGTATCTCTGACCCTAACCTTACTTCCTATATGAAGTTCCAGAGTTCTTCTACCAGATACTGCAAACTCTAATGCCTATAGTGTCTCAGAGGAAACCCCCATGAGTGTGCTAGCCTGAAGCGGAGTTCGGTGAACAGATGAGCATTGTTCAGGACAGCCGCTGCTCACTTCAGTGTTTCCAGAGCTTTCCAATTTGTCAAAAGAAGCTGGATATTCAGATTTCTCTGTAAGTTGTCATATTTTTAAATGTTGGCATCTCATCAAAAATTATTTTAATGCCATATAGGATAAACAAAATATGTTAGTCTGGGAACTCCCATATTTTAATCTCTGCTAGATTCAAACCTGTGTCTCCTGAACCTGGTCCTCTTGTTCTGGAATTTTACACTAACCCTACCTCTAAATACCTCCCCCCCCCAAAAAAAAAAACCCACAAAACTCATCCCAATTCATTCAACACCAAATGTGCGGGGTGTTGTTCCAATCACTGAGGAAACACAATAAAATCACTGAGGAAACACAATAAACAAAATAAATTTGGAGCTTATATTCTAGTAATCTCTGGAGGGGGGGAAGATATATTTTACTATTCTTTTAAAACTAGAGCATCTATAATAATAAAAGCATAATATGCTAATTAGACCGGACATCCTTCCAGACAACCTTCTGGACGAAGCCACGTCAGTGGGGGCCGAGGCAGAGGCAGCCACTGCAGCAGTGGGGGCCAAGCCCCTTGCATGAATTTCGTGCATCAGGCCTCTAGTCCTATATAATAAAAGGCTAATATGCAAATAGACCAAACAACGGAACCGAATAACCAGTTGCTATGACATGCACTGGCCACCAGGGGGCGCATGTGGACCATGGTGGGCATCAGCCACGGCCAGATGGTAGAGCAGGTGAGTGGGGGTGCCAGACCAAGGTGGGGTGCCAGTAGCTGTCATTGGAGCGAGCCTCTGGTGGTTACTAAAAATTCTTAGCTCCTGCGCCCTGCAGTCCCGCCTGGTGCTTGCACCTGCTGCTGGTGCCAGAGACGCTGCTCACACCCACTGCTGGTGCCAGGCCCACTTGCACCCGCAGCCAGCGCCGGAGCCGCTGCTTGCACCCGCTGCTAGCGCCTGGCGCCAATCCCGATCACTTGGCTGCTGGCCCCGATTGCCCCTGAGTGCTTCTCCACCTCTCCCTGCTCCTGAGGGGTGATCAGGGCAGCAGCCGTCGCTTGCACCCGCTGACGGTGCCAGCCCCACTCACACCCACTGCTGGCGCTGGCCCCAATCACTCCACCATCACGCGGTTGCGAGCGGGGCCGGTGCCGTCAGCATGTGGGAGCGATGACGGCAGGAGCGGGGCTGCCAGCAGACAGGGGACCAAGGGCCGCTGCCAGAGGGGCCAGGTGGGGGTGCGTAGGATGGGCCAAGACCTACCCCTATGCCCACCACTGCCTTGCGGCCCACAGTTCCTCTCAAGGTGCACGAATTCGTGCACTGGGCCCCGAGTGATTTTTATAAATAAAAAATGTAGAATAAACATGGGCAGGTTGAGCATTTAAAATTATTCTTTTTTTTTAGAGTTTTTCTTTAGGTTCTATTTTCATCTTTAAAATCCTTTGTTGTCTTTACTGTAGGGCTTACAACAAAAACTCTCCCTTGTAGATTAGTTATTTGTACTCTGGCAGACCTACAGGCAGAAGTGGATTTATTGTGAAACTAATAAAGCTTAATCCCCAGGGTCCTTCACTTTGCACAAAATATCTTCCAAGGCCCTGTAATTCATTCCCCCCCACACACACCATTTATTTATGAAAATTTTCAAATACACAGAAAAATCAGTATAATTATACTCTGGACAACTATATGCCAACCACCTAAAATCTACAGCTAACGATTTACTATATTTAGTTTATCACATACTTATCCATCTATCCGTGACTCTCTCTATCCATTAATCCATCCTAGTTTTTTATGCATTTGAAAGAAAATTTCAAATATCAGTACACTTCATTCCAAAACACTTCAGCATTTATATTAAACTTAAGTTTAATATTTGTTTATGGGGCTTAGGGGGATAAGCAGTTAACATTTCTATGTTGTGAAATGCACAAATCTTAAATATACCATTCAATGAATTGTGACAAATGCATACACATGAATATCCAAACCCATCAAGATAATGAACATCATCATAATAATAACCCATACACATTTTAAAGTGTGAAATTTGCCCTAACCGGTTTGGCTCAGTGGATAGAGCATCAGCCTGCGGACTGAAAGGTCCCAAATTCAATTCCGGTCAAGGGCATGTACCTTGGTTGCGTGCACATCCCCAGTAGGAGGTGTGCAGGAAGCAGCTGATCGATGTTTCTAACTCTCTCTCCCTCTCTGTAGAAAATCAATAAAATATATGAAAAAAAATAAAGTGTGCAACTTGATACGTTTTTTAATGTAGATACGACCACAATCAAGATAATGAACATATCCATCAAGTCCTAAAGTTTTCTCATGCTCCTTTATAATCACTCCCTTCCACTCCTGATTGGTCACCACGGGGCAGTTCTGATTGGACAGGGCAGGTCTTAGGCGCTCCCTCACAGTCATCTAGGAAGACTTAGCAAGCAGAGCCTAGTGCCAGCAGCTCTGCTTGGTATACGGAGCACCTGAGAAGCCCCTGCCAGCAAACAGTGGCTCAGCTCTTATTATTTGTAAAATGTGGGCCCTTGGTTGATCATAGGAGGCCATCTCAGCAGATACATTCCTTCTCGTGATTCACATCCAATGAATCTTCTTAGGTTCCACCAGCCAATAGAAAGGTTGGTATTTTTCACCCATAAAGCTTGGAATTTCACTCCTAAAGGGAACACAGCCAACACATTTCTTTCTAACTATATGTAACCTTTGAAAATTGGAGACAAGACTATATATTTCTGGCTTTGTTTGTTCTCTTCCTCTGAACATGGCCATTAGGTGGACATGAATGAATATGCTTTTGGAACCATCTAGTAACATTCTGTAGAGTTTTCACTAAGCAGCCGTTAGTGTTGTACACATTTCTTTAGCCATGCGCTATATTACCTATTCATTTTTTCATTTAAAATCGTTTCAAAGAATATTCAGTATTTGACAATGTGCCTATGTATCCATTAACATGGGAAGTCACTCAGATATATTTTAAGATTAAAACAGAATCCCATCTCTTTCTAAATTTAACCAGATGAAGATTTTAAACAAATTTTATGATGACTTCTCTGGATAGAGTTTTCCATTTTTTGCCTCTATAATTTTCTAATTAAAAAAAAAAAAAAGTTCTGCCGAAACCGGTTTGGCTCAGTGGATAGCGCGTCGGCCTGCAGACTGAAGGGTCCCAGGTTCGATTCCGGTCAAGGGCATGTACCTGGGTTGCGGGCACATCCCCAGTGGGAGATGTGCAGGAGGCAGCTGATCGATGTTTCTATCTCATCGATGTTTCTAACTATCTATCTCTCTCCCTTCCTCTCTGTAAAAAATCAATAAAATATATTTAAAAAAATGTTCTAAGCAACTTACATTAACAGTGAGAATGACTCAAAATGTCTTACACTCTACTCTGTAACTTAATGTGTTTGCGAAAGAAAAATCCTTTCTCCTGGAGTAGCCAGGCTAAAAGCTATAGCAAGAAAAGGGGGGAAAGTAAAAAAATGCTAATGCTGGTTTTGCAGGAGAAAAATATTGTAATTATTTGTATTGGCCAAGATTTTCAATTACGTATGCTCTCGTCTGCTACCAATTCCACTGAAAATTGGCAGCGGAGTAAATAAAATTCTGGCAATGTGCAGTCTGTGCCCAGGTTTAGATTTTAGCGAGATTTCATCTTTCAGGGAGATGTTTGAAAAATATTAGCTGTTTAAGTGATGTGACAATAGTTTAGTAGCAGGCAATTTACTGCAGTGATTTGGGATTGAAGAGATCAGGTAAGCAAATTCGCATGCGCTCTCCAAACCCAAGAGAGAATATATACGAACGGGATGGGGGGGGAGGGGAATATTTTGAAATCATTGTTATTAGTTACCAGTCTTTGGATAAAGACAGCTCCTTTACTAAACAGGGAGAAGCAGCAGGAGCCACAGTTTTAATATTGTCATCTTCTCAAAATGTACCGAGAAACTTTTTTCCTACAACTTTTCTTCCGCCAAAAAGTTCAAATAAAGAGCGACACAACCCTCCATCCGGCCCGTATGGGGGCTGGACGCGAGGGGACGCACCGTAGCTTTTAACCAATGGGACGAGGCCTCCTCGAGCGCGGTCCCGCCTAGTCCGTTGGCGAAGGACCAGCCAATGATAACGCCGCTCTTTTAGCCAGCGGCGACCAAAGGAAGAAGAAGAGAGGGTATTGGTCGATGGGCGGGACTGCTGCCCAATAGGAGCAAGTCGCGCCCGCGATTCAGGCGGGCAGCTTGAGCGGCTGAGGCGGGGAGGTTGGAATCGGGAGACGTGAGTTCTGCGGAAGAAACGGACTGCGGCGGACTCGCGAGCCCGACCGCGTCTTTCCGGCTGCAGGTGAGGCGGGCGCTTACCTTTCCCCGGGCCTTGCGCTTCTGTCTCCGGGATGACTTCCGAGCTTGGTCTCTGGATGCGGAACGTAGGGGCGCCCCAGTGGAACCCCGCGCCCTGAGAAGGTTCGGCCGCTCTCCGCGACCCCAACCGTCAGGGCCGAGGCGCCAGAATCCCGGCTGTTGCGGGGTTTCTGAGAGGCCCTCGGTCGGGGTGGGGGCGGGGAAGACAGGAAGTTCGTGCGGTCCCGGAAGTTACCGAGTTCAGAGGCGAGTTCGCTGCAGGCCGGAGTCTTCCCAGCCCGTTTCCCGGGAGCCGAGCCTGAAACTCTTCGGTTGCAAATAATTGTTCTCCGTTTGAGCGCCGGTTAGTTGCGTCACTTCCGAGGTGACCGAAGAACCTGATTTTTAGTTTTATTTAGCTTAACCTCACAGCAACACTGCGGCGTACATGCTTTTATTATTATTTTACAGGCGAATTAGTGAGGGGAAACCCGCCTAAGGCCCCACCGGTAGAGTAGGTGTCGGAGCAAGGATCTGAGCCAAGGTCGGCCTGCCGGCCTGACTCCCTGGCGCCTCTTCTTATTTTGTTAATTGGGTGCCATCTCGTCCCGGCTAGTTGTGGACACGGATTGAAATCTGAGTTACAAAGCTTGGTAAGATGACTAGTGGGAGGTTAACATTTTAAACTCCCAACTCTGATGGCACAAATAAATAGGAAATCAAGGTCAAGAATGCTTAAGGCTTGGGGTGGTAGTAGGACTGGCTTTTGCTCTAGGCCAGAGGTTTTCAGCTGGTGTGTGTGTGTGTCAAGGATTTTTAAAGGATGCAATACCTGACTATTTAGTCAGGGGCACTGGCCTTTTTTCCCCTTAGATTGTCAAATTTATTTTTTCTAAATATATTTTTATTGATTTCAGAGAGGAAGGGAGAGAGATAGAAACACCAATAATAAGAGAGGATCATTGATCGGCTGCCTCCTGCACACCCCACACTGGGGAATCGAACCATGACCTCCTGGTTCATAGGTCGATGCTTAACCACTGAGCCATGCCGGCTGGGCTAGATTGTCAAGTTAAAAAAAAAAATGACAATGGCCAACACAACATAGGGGTGTACATATTCTTTAGAATTAGTGTTGTGGAGGGTTTTTCCTATATATACCCGTAAGTGGAATCCCTGAGTTATAAGGCAGTTCCTTTTTTAAATTTTTTTGAGGAGCCTCCATACTGTTTTCCATAGTGGCTGCACTCATCTGCCTCTCATGCTGATTTAAGCCTTTCTGGCTTAAACCTCCCGTTTTCCCACAGCATAGTGTGGAATCAGCTTGCTTCTTAAGGCACATAATCCCCTCTCTTGAGTTTCATCTTTTCAGCCCTACCCCATCACTTTGGGGGAACTGCACTTTTCTAAGTTATCTGTCAGTTCCACATTGCTAAATCTAATGACCATCTTTTCCCCTTAGTAGCAGTGGACACACTGGAGCATTATCTCCCTGAAACATTCTTTCAAGAAATGCTATTCATGGTTTCCTCCTCCTTTATATTTTTGTTTTGGGGTTCTCTTTCTATAACTCTTATCCTTTTCATGTTAGTGTCTATAGTTTTAGTCCTTGGCCTGCTTTTCTTCTGTCTCTCTTCCTTCTTAGATCATTTAATCTCTCCCATGTCTCTTCTGAGGATTCTCAAAGCTATCTACTTTTTTGTCAATCTTCACCCAAGGATATTTTTTTCCATTGACTTTTTAGAGAGTGGAAGGGAAGGGGAGAGATAGAAACATTGATGTGAAAGAGATACATTAGTTGCCTCCCACACACACCCTGACCAGAGCCACCAGAAATCCTTCAGTCCTAGGACTGACTCCTGGGACTGATGCTCTAACCACTAAGCAAACTGGTTAGGGCTTTTTTTAGAGAGAGAGAAAAGCATCGATCCTTGCCTCCTGCATGCCCCCTACTGGGGGGGGGGGGGGGGGCGCGAGCCCAAAACCTGGGCATGTGCCCTGACTGAGAATGGAATCTTCAACCTCTTGGTGCATGGGATGACGCTTAACCATACTGGCAGGGCAAAGCTGTCCACTCTTCCATCTCCATTGCTGCCACTCTTGTCCAAGCCTTTGTAACCATTTGTTTGCACTCCCATAGAAGCTTGTAAACTAGTCACCTGGTTTGCAATCTTGCTTCCCTAAAGCCCATTCCTAACACAAGAAGAAGCTCTCTAACAAGACCTTCAGCGATAGTGTCCTGCCCCATCAAGCTCATCCCGTGTTGTCTGCTCTTCCTTACTGTATTCGTTACACTTGTCTGCCTGGTTTCTCAAATGCACCAAATCCATGCTTGCCAGGGACCTGTGTACTGATTTCCTTCTGATACTTCCTTGGCTCTTATATGGCCAACTTCGTTTAATCCTTTACTCCTCAGCTCAGTTTTATTCTTTCTGAGAGGCTTTCTCTTACTATTGTGTCTGAAATTATGCTTTTTGCCTCCGACTCTCAAAACCAAATATCACAATGTCTAATTTTCACATTTACTCTCCCATTTTTCTAGAATGTAAACTCTGTTATACAGTGTCTTGTCTGTGGGGT